GTTTTTAGAACATTATTAAAACATTTATGGGATAATGTAGACAGACTTTTGGTAGGGGAGTACCAGAAATTGAACTCAGAGCCTCACACTTGCCAGACAGGCACTGCACTTACAGAACCACATCCCCAGCTCTGTAGGCAGACTTTTGTTGGCAAGGTTATGTGCTCTTTTGTTCTGGGGATATTTTTCCATGTTTTACAACGTAGGCTATGATAGCATCTGATTTTTTCCTTTGGATAATCAGAATGTGAAGTTAATAATGTTAGTGGAGAAAGGATTTAAGGGTGCCAGAGGTTCAATCTGTTACTCATCTTTCCTAAGTCATCCACTCACATGCTAATGAACTCTCACCACAGTATGCTTCTGTCTTAGATTTGGCTCTAGATTCCTAATCTGGCATAGGATATTAACCCTAATATCTCAGTTTTCTTGATTGTTTACTTGTAAAGTCTGGATATGTGTGTTGCTAGAAATTGGAAACACCAGTGAACCCCAGGTTCTCATTTCATATTGGCACTCTCACTGGTGATATTGACTTGCCAAAAATAGATTATATGGGGTTCGGTTCCTCAGCATGCCATGCCAGCCCCACCCCTGGGACATGCTGAGATGGTGACTGAGACTGGGCATGGTGACACATGCCTGTTATCAATCAAGGCTTGGGAGACTGAAAACTGGAGACTCACTACGAGTCCAATTTGTGTAATGACACCTTGTAGAGCCTATATTAAATACATTTTTTTTAAAAAAAAGAAAGAAAAGAAAATAGATTCTGCTCTGAATACACAGTAAAACCTCAGTTTGTGAACATAATTTATTCCAAAAATATGCTTATAATCCAGAGCATTTGTATATCAAAGCAAATTTCCCCATAAGAAATAATGGAAACTCAGATGCTTCTTTACTCAATCCAAAAATATCCATATAAAATGATTATAATACTGTAATACAAAATAATAAAAATATGTAAAATATAAAGAAAGATAAATTAACTTATATTTACTTTTGAAAACCTTTGTGGCTGGTGTGAGGCAGGAGGATTTTTGCATAAGACGACTTTTCATAAGGAAATCACTGCTACCTATCCACTACCTAATCACTGCTTTTTGCTTCCTTTTGAGAATTTTGTGGAATTATAACATTGCATTGTCATTCAACAGATTTATCACTGACATTGCTACAGTCTTATCCAAGTGGTGCTTTTCTACAAAATGTTGCAGTTTCCCACATTTTATACGTCTCCCTATCTCATTTGAAGTCAGAGATTGCTCTGCATTTTTCTCATCCTCTTCTGTAGATGAGATGTCTTCATAACCTTTTGCTGTTGGGAAAAGATTACTCACAATTCTGCAGTGAGAGGGGACATCATTCATTTATCAAGTTAAAATTTATTAGAAATATGTACTCATCTTAGAGAACATGTGAAGAACAAGTTACCTGCAATCCAAGGTTTTACTGTACTAGTCCCCACAGAGTTTAGCAAAGTAACCTGGAGAGATCTTCACGGAGGATAACCATATAATTTGATGTCTCTACCTATACCAGGATTCTTTTAAGGATGAAAAGTATTATAAATGACATAAAATTATTAGAATAAAGTATTCTTCTGATAGGTATTGACCTGATAGATATTGGCCTGATAGGTATAGTCCTGAGCAAAGTGCTTACCTATAGTCACCCTCCTGACTTGTTAAATCATTCACTTCAAGTGAACACTAAGAAATAAAATATGTAAATAACTGTTATATTCTATCAGTTGATAGCCCTTCTGTGAGAACTGAAAATGTGATGGGGTGTTTCTTTAGTTCCGCTGGATGGATACTTGCACGTGCACATTCACATAGGATACAAAAAGAACTCTGTTTTTGGTTTTTCATTTACCGAGCTTCTTCCCATAAATTATGAATGCTATTGTTTATGTAAGAACAGTGTACAAATACACTAAGTAGGATAAGTACAAATGATAAATACCTTATGCTAGCATAATTTAATTTATACCCTCAAAGGAAGTTACTATAAATCAAAGACAAAAATATATTCTATATTCAGAACTCTATAGATCAGGATTGCAGTTAAGAATTGTTTTAAGTACAGTGACTTAATAAATTTCTTAGAATAGTTGGCACTTGTAAATTAGGGACTTCTATATAATTATTTTTTCTAAATTACTATACGATGAACGTCTAATCCAAAATGCTCAACAGTGTGAAATGCTTCAGTATCTGAAACTTTCTGAATGCTGACATGATGCCACAAGTAGAAAATTCCACAGATGACCTTTTATGATAGGTCACAGTCAAAAGTGCAGGGGTACTAAAAGTATTGTATAAGATTACCTTCAGACTATATTGTATGTTTATATGAAACCTAAACAAATTTCATGTTTAGACTTGAGTCTAGCCCCAAGATAATCTCATTATATATAAGCAAATATTCCAAAATCCTCCTTAAAAAATTAAAATCAAAATCTCTTCTGGTCCTATACATTTTGGATAAAAGATACTAAATCTGTGATACACATGCTCTTTTTTGTGTGTGTGGCAGGCTCAGCCCACCTTGGGGGCAGGGCTGGCACAGCAGGTAGTACTGGGGATCAAACCATGGTCCTTGTGTTTGCCTAAGCTAGCCTAAACAGGTGCTTTAGACCACTGAGCTATCCCACCGGCCCTGCATGCTCTTTATTAAGGAAGAACTTCCAGTATAATCAGTGACATAATAAGATAAACTTGAGTTTTTTTATGATGTATCTTACTACAATATTTGCTTTTTTTCCCCCTATTTAGTTCTTGGATGAGATTTCATCTACTGAAACTAAAGAGTCCAGTGGAACAAGTGAACCTGTACACCTGAAAGAAGGGTAATTTAATGAAATCAGACATGAAAATCATGTTTTAGTATAGACATTAATTAGGTGGGTAGAAGAGCGTAGATATGAGAGTAAGGAAATCTGAACTTTTGTTCTGTGCCAAAATGGCCTAAGTCACATCGGCCAAGTAAGTCACCTCACTACCTTACAAATTGTCAGATGGGCATCACTCCCTGTTTACACAATCTCAAGAGTTTTACAATTGTGGTAAAATAAGTATTAGGATACTTTGAAAAAACTTATAACACTATTCAGTTTTAGAGTGGTTATTATTGGAAATGAAAAGGGGAGATCACTTATATGGTTTGGTTTTATTCTACGTAACACAATTTAAAACATTAATAGAAGACTTTATGCTCTTGGTCTAGCCAGAATAAATACAAGGGTCACTGTCTAGGATACTTTGTTCTCGTTGCTAAGACAAAGTACTTGATGCCCAGAATTAAAGAAGGAAAGGTTTATTTAGCTCCCTTGATTGTGAAGCTTTCAGTCCATACTCAGCTGACTCTAAGGCAGAGTGGCACATAGAATAGGCCAACAGTTCTTGTTCTTGGCAGCAGAAAACACCAAAAGTAGTAAGCGCACAAAAGGGAAGAGTGCCAGAGTGAGCCTCTTTCCCTCCCTCATATGGTAGGTAGGCAACCTGCCCTAGGGCGAGTGTAGCACTCACACCCGTAATCCCGGCATTGGACCAGGAATCAATTAAAAACTCTTGAAGCCTGTCCCCTGACTACATGAGGTTTTTGGGGACATCTAGACACAAACCATAACAGTCACAGGTGGCAAAAACATTTTCACAAATTTAATATGGTCTTACATAATTATGTATGTCATTTAAAATTAAAAGATAATTCTTTGTTTTGAATGAACTGTTTTTAATCTTTGTAGCTAAATTTTTACCTTCATTATTTTGACAGTGAAATGTTTAAAAGAGCTCAAGGAAGAACTCGAATTGGAAAAAAGAATTTCAAAAAACGGTGGTTCTGCTTAACAAGCAGAGAGCTCACCTACCACAAACAGCCAGGTAGTTGTGCTTATGCTTTACTGAGGGTTCCCCCCTATTGGGTTCTTGATGAAAATTTCTGTTTTGTTTCTTAATGTGACTCTAGTGAATCCTTTAACAGTATTGATAGTTTATAGTTTCTCACAGTGATACATACATATTAAGAATGAAATTGAACTACGTAAATTATGTTTCCTCAAGCACTGAATTTCTTGTATTTCTAAAAATGACATTAATTCAGGATGTTCCACTTCTTTAAAATCTGGTAAACCTCTAATGTTATAGTCAGTATATAATGAGGAACTTCGAAGCCCCTTCAAAGTTGGAAGTTCTTTAATTCTCAGAGCCAATTTAGTAAGATTTAGAGTAAATGAGAATATTTTGTGCTTTATTAGACAATTCCAGCTAAAATTTACACAGTCATACTGTAGATTGTGATCACTATACAATTGTCAGATTCATTTTAGGCTATTAGCCAAGTTAACCCCAAGATGGAAGAGTTGGGCTGCTTCAACAAAGCAGTCAGGCTCAGGTTGCTGTGGTTCGATCCCCACAACACAAGACAGCCAGTCATGCCTTGAAGGCATTCGGCGCAAAAAAAAAAAAAGATGGAAGAGTTGATCATTTGTCTCTGGAAATGACATGTCACAAATGGGCTACCTGAGTAAGATAGTCAGGTATCTGATTTGAGAGCAGTAGCACGGCAAAGTTTGACCTTCAGTAAACCAAAATACTGCATAAAACCTTTTTTAGATTTTATTCCTTTGGGATAAAGCATTATCTGTAGAGGAAGGCCCTTAGTTTATTACATTTTAGCAGATAGAATCTGTATTACATAACAGATAGTAGAATCCCATTTATCCACATGACCAGGATCCAGTGATGTTCATTTAACCAAAATGTGAATTAAGGCAAAAGTTAAAATATAAACAAGGGATGCATATAAACCCTAAATACTTGTACATTTGAGGTTTTTGTTATATTTTGCTTTTAGTGTGTGGTGGTAGTGATCAAATCCAGACCCTGTAGGTTATTTACTTGTCTTGTAATACAGAACCAGGATCTTTTTTTGGAATTTAGAGCTGTATATATTGAGTTTTCTCTTTGTCTTCTTTAATGTAATATACTCAAAATGCATCTGTTTTCAAGGTGACTTCTTCAAAGTGATCTAGAACTTCAGATACTTAAAAAATAATCCAAGTACAGAATCCTTTTAGATTTTTAAAATAGCCACTCTGATCTTTATAGTTGTCTTGTCCCTACATAATTCAACTTTGTATGGGTGTAGGTCTATTTTTTAATGAAAAAAATTTCATAATCTAATAAGAAAATAAGTTATTACATTGTGTATCATCTTCATGGTAGTTACTTAGAGCATAAGACATAAACCAAAAAGATTCTCTCAAAAAAGAAACAGTAACACAATCTTTCTTTTTTGTGAAATAAGATAAACTAGTCGTATAAATGAAACCAATTAACATATTTCTTTAAATATTTTTAAAACAATGGAATTTGTAATTTGTGGAAGTATTTTAACTTCTCCCTCCTTCCTGTTTACCTCTTTCCTATTTTGCTTTTTATTTGTGTGTATATATACCTATATGTATGTATGGGTTCATGTGTTTCTCATATAAGAGAAACTATGCTCTAGTTAAGCTTGTGTTTCTGATTTTTCAAAGCCTGTGCTGATTTTTAAATAAATAATAAACTTCTTGGTAGAGCGCATTTATTTTGTCTCTCTACATAATATTTAAGTAAATTATAATTATATCATGGAAAACTGGCATAAATAGCTTTGGGAACAAACTATGGACTTTGTGAGTCAAAATAGCCTAGCCAGTGGAAACAGAGAGGAGCAGGCACAACTGAGCCTGGCCTGGCAGTCACAAATGCTCACACCCCATGAGCATCAGGAAATGGAGTGTTAGCCTACTAAGTCTCTTAGGTAGAAATCTATTGAAACAGCTTCCACTATAAATTCTGAAATGATTAAATAACAGCAGTCTTAAGGTGCTTTCAAGACAGCAGTTAAGTGTTATTCTGAAATTGTAGAGTGATAACAAAGACATTTTTCAGAGAATCCCAGTGCTTAGGCCCCAGGGATCTTCCTGCCTCAGCCTTCTATGTAGCAGTATCTACAGTCACACATTGCAGCAGTAGCTAAGAAAACTGTTTGGATTCATAATTCTTAAGGAATAGCTTAGCTACAATACCTACATATGTCCAATAAGAAACAAAGCACAATGTATTTTTAAGCACATAGATGGTTTGTTATAGCACATAGTCAAATAACTAAAGCTCAGCAAGCCTTATACTTTCCTTTCCAGACATTTTCAAGCTCAGCATATTTGAGTGTATTAGAAATTATGATTTATATTCTACATAAATGTTCTCATCTATGGATAGCATAGGTGCTTGTGTTGTACACATAATTATGTGTATATTTAAATAAAATTTTAGAGAAAATAGTCATTCTATATGAATAAAAGTTTTTCAAATTGAAAACATTTTCTAACCTAAAATAATATTCTAGGGACCAGGGGAGATAGCTCAGTAGAATAAGCCCTTGCCTGGCAAGCGCAAGGGCCTGAGTTCAATCCCCAGTTCTGCAAAATAATAATAATAATAATAATAATAATAATAATCCAAAAAACCCTTTAGAATCTTCTTTAAGAATTAGATGATACCTATCAGCCCTTTCTTCTAGAAAATTACAACAAAAAATTTTCCATATAATTTCAGGGAGTTATAGTCTCTATGTCCATAGTCCCGAAATCCATCCAGTTCTTATGTTTAAACCTCTATGTAGTGATTTTTGAGAGGATAAAATTACATAGAATTAGGCTTCATAAGTATAAAATAGACATTGAAGCTATATTGTTTTCATGTCTGAGGAATGAGAACTATGAGATTTTGAGGTTATTTACCAAAACCTGTACTTTTGTTTTGAAAGCCTGTAGTTGTAAGCACACATATCTTTTGTTTTAACTATTTTGTTGGATTTTTCCAAAATATATTACATACTTTCCTGTCTTCTAAAAAAGAATTCATTGAATGTAAGTTAACATTTTTCTAGTGATTTGAGGCTGTCATTGATAATACTATTACACAGTACTATGATTTAGAGGTATTTTGGGGGTTAAGGGTGTATGCAACTGTTCTAGCTAAATGCCTTTATTCCCCAGCTAGATGTCTTGGACTGCTATTCTTTTTATGTTCCTGCTTTTTATAGTTCTTCTCTGTCGTTTATGGTCAGGTTGTAACCTTAATTTTTTTTTGCTGTCAACAAACTATTATATAGTATCCTACTCCTGTCCCTATTATCAACCTCTGTATCTTTTTACTGCTTATATACAGTAAAGGAGGGCTTAGATACTGTTTATTAAAATTATGCATAACATTAAAAGACTGAGTGAAGCTATGAGGATTTTCCCCTGTGAATAAAGTGCGTGGGCTTTGTCTTCTGGTTGTTCAGGTGTTTTATTTCCTGTTTCCTTGATGCTTTCTAGATAGCCAAGACTGCCTGTTAATTAATTTTTGCTATATTTGCTAAGTGATCTTGGTGGTGTCTAAAAGAAAGCCTCCCAAGTTTTCTATAACATAAACTCTAAAGCACTGAGCCTTTCATTCAGTCCTCCTGCTACATGGTAGTATTCTTTTTTCTGTGTGTGGCCTGCTCAACCCATCCTGAAGGCAGGGCTGGCATGTCATGTGGAACTGGGGATCAAACGGCAGTCCCTGTGCTTTGCCTAATGTTGCTTAAGCATGTGCTTTAAACCATTGAGCTATCTTGCTTGCACCCGTGGTAGTATTCTGAATCAAGTATTTCTACTTATAAAAAAAAAAAAAAGTATTTCTACCTCTTAGGATCAATACCATAGTCTCTTCCCAATTTGCTGGGAAAGGAATTAATAGAATTTTTCTAATGTTAGGGATTTTTCTCAAAATTGTTAATATTTTAAGTATATACTTAGCTTGAGTAACAGTATAGTTAAATTAATGTGTGGCAAGTGAGTGTTAGTCAACTATCAGGCATGATTAGCCTTGATACCTTTTTTTTGGCACAACCAGGGATTGAACTCAGGCCCTGGCACTTGCCAGGCAAGCACTTTTTCCACTGAGCTATCTCCCCAGCTTGATACCTTTTTATACATCTGCATGATGATTATGATTTTGTACTTTCTATAGTGCAGTCATCTTTAACAAGGAAAAATTGCGGCTGGGGAGGTGGGTCAGTGGAATAAGCGCTTTCCTGGCAAGCACAAGGCCTGAGTTCAATAACCAGTTCTGCAGGAAAAAAAAAAAAAAAAGGAAAAATTATCCTAGGTATATGCTGGAGTTAACTTGAGTTATTAATGTTACAGTCTCTGTGTCTCATCCAACATCATCTTTTAAGCATTCTCCATTTACTTTACCAAACTAGCTCTTCTAGTTCCTTTAACTTGTGCCTCTTTACATTCATGTGTGTAATCTGGTGTCCTTTAAGCCTAAGATCAAGTGTCAGCTCTTTGTGAAAGTCATGTTAAACCTGCTGCCATCGCAGTTTAGTTATTTTCTTAATGTATTTTTATTTATTTATTTATTTATTTATTTATTTTTTGTGGTACCGTGGCTTGAACTCAGGACCTTGCACTTGCCAGGTAGGCGCTTATTCTACTGAGCTATCTCCCTGGCCCTCCTTAATGTATTTTTAAAGCCACTTTAGCTGTAACTTCTGGCACACTGTGTAGCCATTACTCTTTTCTGTTACCTCCTCTCACCTTGAGCATCCTGTCATAAAAATCGTATTATTACTGGTGGCATAAAGGTAAAGAGTTTAGGCCAGCCGGATAGTTCAGCAGACTAAAGCACCTGCTTAGGCAGACACAGGGACCAGGTTTCAGTCCCCAGCATGCTGCGCCAGCCTCGCCCCCAGGGCACAGTAAGACAGCAACTGAGACTGGGCATGGTGGTGCACACCTGTAATCCCAGTGCTTGGGAGGCTGAAAACAGGAGGATCACTGTGAGTCTGATCTGTGTAG